GTAGTGTATGTGATAAAGATTGTGATGTCAGCACAATAACCTAGTGATACTAACATAGCTTACACTGTTATCAAAGTTCAGTTCCTCAGATGGAAGAGTTTACTGCAGAGTTTAAAGTAATTGAAATCACATATACACGTTCCCACACAGTCACAAACACGCACACACATGCATATACCCATTCCTTTCACTTACCTGTCTATTCCTGTTTTCTGAAGAAACACTAACTCACATTTTTTCATGGAAAGAAGAAAACAACACTTTTAGAGGCAGACATGAGTCTTAAGTGACTTATCAACAGTGAGAGCAGTTTGTATAAAGGAGACTAATGTGAGCCTGAGAACAAGACAAATGTGGGTTTAGCTGTTGGCTGAGTAAAAACGAAACAGAGAAGCTGTGGCTCAGTGGACTGCCAAATACAAGGCACATGTACGACTAGGAAAAGAGAGCCAAGCGTGGTTGACCTACTTATATCTGATCTGCTTTAATACTCTCGTATATCCAGTTCTTGAAAACGTTAGATGTTTGCAGGGCCCTGAGTGCCTTCTCTGCAGCCTCCAGGGTTCAGCTGCTTGGGGTCAGGGATAACTTTGAAGATGCTCCTCTCTGACTATGAGAAGCCCCAGCAGTGACTTGTTCCCCTGCACCTGGGAGATTCTTTTAAGCTCAGGCTCTCTCCCTTGATCTCTGTTTGAAAAATTCTGCAGGTATTCCAGTCCTCTGCCTCCCTGACTCCGACCCAGAGCCTAACTTGCAGGTGTGACTGTGAGTTTTTAGCTTGGCATTGGACCTGCCTCATTACTATGGATCTACCTGATATTTTGAACTCTTAGCTGAACTAAGTGACCACTGCCAGAGCTGCTTGCCTGTGTCCATCCCATGTGGTCCCTGCACTGCTGCCACTGCTTGCATCCGTCACCTGCCCTTGCAGAAGCTGCCTGCTCTTGCTGCTTCCTGGCAGCTGTAAGAGCTGATTAGCAAGTGCAACCACTTGCAGAGCATAAATGTCCTGTAAATGCCAGGTGGAAGGTTAATAATAAATAAGCACAATAAAAATAACCCTGTCTAATATAAGGAGAGCACCACATGACATGAACTCCTCTGTGCCTACTCTGTAATGGGTGGCTGCCTGGTCAGTAGGAAAGGGGTTGGATTGGTTTCACCTGATTTTGCTTCATTTTCGACTTGTCACACTGCCTAAATAAGGGAGCCCGAGTGATGAGGCCAGCATGGAAAGTGATCTGGTGACTGGATATTTGGGGTTCCTGAAAGAGATAGGAGGACCCTAGAGCAATTGCCATTGCCTGGTTTGTGAACAGCTGTGCTCTGGAGTAGTCAGCAAACAGAGGTCCCTGCAAGATGCTGAAAGGAGCAGCAACAGCTTTCATATTAGAAAGGCCATATGTTTCTATGCATGGCACATTCTGCATTATGAACTTATATCACATTTAGAAAAAAATCTGAGATTGTGGCAGCCCCAACATTTGCAGTATTGAAGAGTTTATGAATAGAAAATTTAAATGAAAACAGAAAAAAAAAAATCTTTTTTTTTGGAGGGAAAAAAATGTGTAAATGTAGAGCACTCAGTGGCTGAATTGTCTCATTATAGTTGTGTCCTTGATCCAGCTATATAAAACTATTTGATTCTCAGGGAATTCCCTGCAGTTCTCTGCAGGCTCAAAGGCTTTCAACTCGTAGGTCTTCTGCCAGCATACTGACCTGAGTTGTCTTGCCTGAATCTGGGCATTAGTCTTCATTTAGCTGAGATCACTGGCTGTGATCTCTGCTGCTGCACAGCCACAGCAACGAGTTCAGTGAGAGTGACAATCAGCACTATGTTCAAACTCAAAAAGAGAAAATATGAAAGAACTATAATAGTGGGAAAAGAGTAGAGAAATCCAGGTAGGTGAAGCCTAAAGGGAAGGCTTTTTACTTTCTATATTTCATTCAGGGCTATTGTTTGTGAGAGATTTTTTTTTTCTGCCTTTGGACAATGTTACAAAGAAAAGGTAATCATTCTCATGGTAGTGATTCTGCCTAGCAGGCTGACAGGTTGAGCACACACATAGAGTCTCTGAAAAACAATCCATCTGATATCAGGTCACATGAATGAGTCGTGAGTATTTATCAGTGTGTCTGAATATTTATAGTAGAAAAACAAGGTTTGTTTTATATGGTACCGTGCTCTGTGTCAAATAAACTTATGAACCTAGTAGACAGTCTAATGCTGCCATTGCTGTAGAGACCTAATTTTACACACCATGTACATATTATATGTTATACATTAAAAATAGCATTCTATTGCCTTGGTTTAGTTCTGCTGTAGCCTGTAACAGATCTATAGGAAATCTGAATGTCACTTTCTTTACTCCAGCAGTAATCATAAATTACTTCATGTCAAGTGTCTTGAGAGTCCTCTATGGGTTTCATTTCATTATTTGGCTGTGTATATACCTGCTGCACAAGCAGTGTTCAGTTACCTGGGGTCATTTTCATTCATAGGTATTCTGTAGACCTGTCATTTATAAATACCTAGGGTCCTTGTACACTCAAGCATAAACTGTTCATTATAGTTTCAATCATTTCATACTTACTGAAGTCAATAAAACACTGTCTAAATGATATTTTCTAAGAAAAATGTACACCACTAAACTACTTAAACTTATTTATAACCTCTTTTTTAAACATTCAAATAAGCACTCAGTGCCTGAATTAAATACAGCTCTTATAAAGGCTTCAGAGACTTTTAAACATATTTATATGAAAACTAGAAAATTCATAGTTCAAATTTATTTATGCAGAAGTTCTCTAAGCTTGTCTTTGAGACTTATAATCTACTAAATTATGTTCAGAAAGTTCCACTCAAAGAGAAGACTAAAGAAATCAGCTTTAAAAAAAATTCCGCAAGACCTTGTCATTTTTCGAATGCTAAAAGAAAAAAAAATCTGAAAATCAGATATCTGAGGGAAATAATGTAATAGAATTAGGGGAGAGATGTTCAGTTCTTGTTGTGAACACTATCCAAAGCTCTCATATTTTATATCACTGTTCCAGCCTCTATTATTTGCCTCAAAAATAAGGAGAACCTGCATCTTAAAGCAAAATAGGATTTAAGTAGAAAAATGTCTGAACAGCTTTATTTATTAAGCTTTAGACATATTGACTGCAAGATATCTTAAAACACACACTTTTGCAGACTTTCCACAAATTTCTAAACAGATTATTAAAAAAACTCAAAAAAGTCCATACTTTTATATTATATTCATATCTTCTTTTGGCTTAGGATAAACATTTCATACTACACAGGTTTTATCTGTGACCAACTGCTGATAACAGTCTATTCAACCTCTCCATGTATTTATCCTTATCCTTTTTCTTATATAAAAAGTTATCTGACACATAAAAAATCAGGGTTTATGTTTTGGTCTTAGTTTTCACTTTTTGCTTTATAGAAAATGACCATAATAAAGACATGTGATCATTTATGACTGCACAGGTCCACCTGGTAAATAATAATCTAGTTGTTATAAGGACCATTTTAGGACATCTCATTTATTCCACAGTAACAGAATTTTCTTATCTTGGTAACTGCTACTTTCTTACTACTATAAACAAGATACTTATCTTCTTCAGACATCAGACTTAACACTACCTCAACACATTTGTCGAAACGCTGTGTTTGGATGGGAAATGATAAATAAAAGTCTGGATTTCTAAACATCACTTTTAGCATAATTTTTTTCCATCTGCAAAAGCCCTGTTACAGCTCTTGACACTTCATTTTATTTTCTTGGGTTTGGGGGATTTTTGTGGGTTTTTTTATTATGTCTGTCTTAAAAGAGAAAATACATGTGTAAAATGGAGCACATTTTTTGTATTATCATATTAATCATAAGGAAGACCTTATATCTTAGCTTTTTCTGTGGTGGTGGTCAGTTACAGGCTGCCTTAATCCTTTTCGATCTCTGCAGGCTCAAAGGCTTTCAACTCGTAGGTCTTCTGCCAGCATACTGACCTGAGTTGTCTTGCCCGAATCTGGGCATTAGGCCCAGATGTGGCCCATCACAGGTCATATACTGATTTTCTTTCAATTAAAGTGATATTTTCGTGGATGTTTAGTTTGCCATTGGCTCTACAGAATTAACAGTCAGATTCTATTTATTTTTTTGCAGAACTTTGTGGAATGCAATAATAACAAAAGAGATTCTTGCAAAATCTTTAACACCTATTGCAAAAATACACAATAGTATCTTCTAGGTTCTTAGAAATCTGGATAGAATTATTGCTAATGGAAAGAAGTTGAGAGGAGTCAAAAATTCTGTTTAAAGACAACTCATCATGGCTAGACTTCGTGAACAAAGATTTGGTAAGGGCTCTACCCACATTTGCTACAAGCACACTGGTGGCTAAAAAGGCCAATACAAGATAGACAAGATAGGTTGCAAAAGGCACAGCAGAAAGACTCCTCAGGTGGTATTGGCAAGACATGATTCTTTCTGTGTTGTCTTTTCTCCTCGAGAGTGACCAGCAGAGAGGAAGCAGCAGCATTATAGTGTGTCTCCAGACCTCCCGATTGGAGGCCAGAGTAGACCAGTTATGTTGATCAATATGGCCAAGGCTGAGATGTTGTTTCAGGGAGTCCTTGTATCGTCTCTTTGGGGCTCCTCTCTTGTGGCAGCCGGTGGTGAGTTCACCATAAAGCAATATCTTAGGGAGGCGGTGGTCCTTCATCCTTGAGATGTGCCCTGCCTAACACAGCTGTGTTCTTAGCAACATGGCCTCAATATTTGTGATTGCTGCTTGTTCTAGAACAGACGTATTAGTCACATAATCTGACCAGTGGATGTTTAGGATTGTATGGAGACAGCATTGATGCTCGCCTCGGCAGCACAAATATTAAAATTGGAATGATACAGAGAAGATTAGCATGGCCCCTGCGCAAGGATGACACGCAAATTCGTGAAGTGTTCTGTATTTTCTTTTCCGAGGGTATAGCTCAGGGGAAGAGCACTTGACTGCAAAGACAACTCATAAGAAAATAAATAAATTTGTAAACCACAGAGACTGCGTCTATTATGTGTCTAGAAGCAACTGCTAAACAGTGAAAAATTTGTTTATGTTCTTAGCCAAGATATCAGATGTTTGTCTGACAAAATGTGTATGTTCCACTTTCAGGCTTGGTCTCCCTCACTGATGTGAAATAAAATGAAATATTGTTGCTGTTTGTTGAGAAGGTCTCAAGGCATTTCTTAACACAGTGTATTATAATTTGAAGAATCTTGCCATGGTTTCTTAGTTTTGCTCTATTATTTTTTCCTCTGCCTGCATTTCTTCTGATGTTATGTATCTCATTCTGTCCACATTTTAATTGTAAAAACAGCTGTCACCATCAGTTTAAGAGTGCGGTCCAAAATACAGTAAAACCTGTAATGATGAAATTAATGCTGTGAATAATATCTGTGATATGAACAATAAAGACTGAGCATAAATAATAACTAATGCATTTCCCTCTAGCACTGAATACTATGAAACAATTGTATATTGTATATGTGGTATATGTGCAGGGCAGAGAATAGGTCATTGAGGCTGGAAATTATTAAATTCTCTTTCAGTGACACAGGGTCATTCATTACTGTTGAACACGCAAAGGAAATGAGTATGTTTAAATACCTGTGAGCTCTCACACGCGACTCACAAGTACCTTCCAAAATGTACCCATTTCTGGTCACAGCCTTATCTTTGACTTCTGAATTGGAGTTTGCCTCTAGGACCATTTTAATCCTTTTTTTTTTCCCTCCTAGTCAAAAGCATAAATTGTTTTACCCAAGAAGGACCTTTACAGTCCAATTTCACTGTATAACAATGTTATTTTTAGGTGAGTCCCATCACTGCCAAAAACAACTCAGCTGTTGCAAGTAAAAGGACTGAAGGTTCTTTCAGACACTCCTCTGAAGAGAAGTAAGCAGCAAGATGAAGAAATCTTCTGTCTTACAGAGATGTCTCTGTAATACTGGAGAGTCCCAAAAGAAAATCAGGTAGGAAAATGGATTAGTTATGTTTATCTGTCCCTCAAAGGCAGTGCTTTCTCCAACTTCTCCTTTGATTGTAAGCAACAATTAATAAAAAGTTCTCATATGTTGTGTTGTTTATCCTACATGTTTATACCTGTACAGAAAGAAGGTTCAGGGATCTTTTGACATCATATCAAGAGCAGTAAATTGGATTGAAATTTACCAAGAAAATAGCATTTTTTCTTTCCTAATTAGAATTGGGTGAAACTGAAATTCCAGTTGCTTCTGTTCTTCAGTGTTCTGGATGTCAGCTGAGAGCTTGCCTCTGGCTGTCCCTTGCTCCTTGATTGGTAGTCTTACTAGACAGTGTTGGGGCCAGAGGAACAACAATCCCTCAGAGTGCAGCATTGGATCAAGTTCAAGTTATACAGACCATTTTAGGATTATAATGGTTTTCCTGACTGCATCACAACTATCAGGGTCTTCCAGATTGTGTTACTATTTGTCAAACAAAATAAAATAGAATAAGATATCTGATAGAGACCTAAACTGTCAATAATTTTTGGTGGTAGGAGGGTTAGTTTGTGTTTATTATTGTTGTTGCTGTTGTAGGAGGGGTGGTTGTGGTTGTTGTTGTTGTTATTATTATTATTATTATTATCATGCTTTTTAAAATTTATTATCTTTCATATTGTGATTTTAAGTATGTCAGTAAATAAGAAGCCTGAAGAAAGAAAAGCCACATTTGTTAGATACTGGTAGTTATACTAGGTTCAGAATTTATATAATATTCATTTAAGATCTAGGCACTACAATTAAACATTCCACTTGAAAGTTGCATCATCTAAAACACCAGACTGAAGGAGCAGATATTTCCGAATTTCTATGCTACTGAGAGGATCATTCCATTCCCTGTCACTTCTTGATACTTTATGTGTTGCTACAAGAATGTGGAACCTGGTTTTAAAAAGGTTGTTCCATACCCTTCAGAAAAATATCTCATTGGAAGACAAACTAAATTGAGAAATAGGCTTAGCTTGTACCCATAGGAGCAGCTGATTAACAGCTGTTTACCAACCGATCTTCATAAAACATCTCTGTTCTTTATATGGGCTTCTAGTCATGCTCCTCCTTAATAGTTTGTTTCTAAGTATAATTGTTTAGGAGTTTATATTATAACTGTTCCTGAAGGCTGTTTCCAGAAAGAGAACTCTGCACTTCCTCTTCCTATAGTTTCTTATCTTTGCGAGGAAATTCCTATTTTCAGGAAATGTTTGCAATTTGTCTTTCAACTGACTGCAGAATAGTTACTTTGAGTTTCAGTAGATCTCTTTTAACTATGAGTGCAGTTATTTATTTTGACATTATCCCTCTTGCTCTGCTAAATATATGACTATTTATCACAAATTCCTGTTAATATTTTCCTCAAAGAAAGTAACCTGCATATATAAATATATTTTCTTTCTTTGATGCTTGAAACTGGGTTTTATACATATTGAAACTGGTGAGAGTACTGGCTGTCTGTCACTGAGGCTAAAAGCAGAGAGGAAAGCTTATGGAAATGGTGGTTAGCTTCAAAATGCAGAATGCTATCTGCTGGAACTGTCCCTGTTTGTAAAAATAATGACATAAGCACAAAGGACACACATGGACAGACATGCTGGATACGAACACATGCAGATTTGAACAATGTCCTGAGAAAAGACCTTTGGGATAAGTGCTGGCTAGAATATGTCTTGGAATCTGAGCAAAGAAATGTTCTCCAGCTGTTTGATTTTTCTCATGTAGAAAGAAACAGGATTTTGTTGATATTTTTTGCAAATATAGTAAGCATCAATGACCTACCTACTTTTAGTCATTTCTTCCCAAAACAGGAGCAATGGGAAGAACCAAACACAAGGGAAGGTTACCCCTTGAATGCAGACATAAGAATTCTTGAGGATAAATGCCATGTGTTCTTGTTCGGAGGTTTTTTGTTGTTGGTTTGGTTTGATTTGTTTTTTGATTTGTTTTCCTTTGCTTTATTGTTTTGGTTTGGTTTTGTTTTTTATCTGGATTACTTTAAACTGTATTTGGTAGCTAACCACATTTACCAAAAACAAAGTGAAGTACTGATTAAACATAGCTATACAGCAAATAGTGATGACAGATTGCCTGTGTCCTCATGATCACCACAGAAGTAAAGTCTACACAAACTGCATTTTTAGTGTACCATCAACCCAAAGACTGATGGCTTGTCCAAGATCAAAATAGTAAGCAAGGAGCAAAGCTACAATCAAAATTCAGGAATTCCTATTATTTTTATTCTTGATCAACGTACAGTAGGCATGGGGATAAAACTAACAATCTAGACTATATTTCAGATTGTAAAGCTTCACAGGACAATGCTGAAATCTTATTTCTGCTTATGCAAACAGATTGACAGCTTTGTATGACACAGAAATAATTTTAGAAAGTATATCTTGTGCATGTTTGACTCTTCTGGACATCCGGTATCTGTTGGTCTGATTTGAGCTGCAATTCTGACACTTTAAATTGTTTACAACTGGCATAGAATTTATGGATGCCTCTCAGATGCCTTGTTGTTGCTCTCCGGGTGGTCTAACTTCATAGATGGTTTTTTGCTGCCTCAGAAAAAAGCAGGGAATTATAGGGATTTTGAAGCCAGTGCTCACAAGTTAATAGAGTATTTTAGACCAGGGAAAAAATATTTCCTGTTAGAAACATGTGTTCAGGTCAGATAGTTGAACAACAAGACTAGATTACTGATTTCTTTGGGTATGCATTTCATCCCTGTGCTATTTAAGAGCACCATGGTGTATCACAAACCTGCAACAAAAAATCTTCTGAGTTTGCGCTAATAAATCTTTCTGAAATAACATTTCTGAATTTTAACCATGTATTGTGAAACATAGGCCACATCTTATATGAAAGAAAAAAGGTAGTATTTATGTAGAATTATTGTGTCAGTCTATTATCAAACTGCTTTCACCCACAGTTTTCTGTCAAGACTATGATGAATGGACAATAAGGGAGACATTAAGGAAATTAAAGGTGTAAGGTTGCATTTTGAAAGGCAAAAGTTTCAGTCTGGTATATCAGAAATGGGACTAGGTATCGCATATCTTTTTTAATATATGATATCAGAACAGAAAAGTTCAAGGTGGATGTACTAAGAAATGTTTAGTAGCTGATGTGTTAAAATGTGTATAATAGAAGAGAAAAATTGAAAAATACAGACATTAGGTTTGTGAATCTTAAATAATATTACTGCATGTGTTTCAATTTGCCAGTTAACTCCTATGTACTTTTCAGCTTTGCAACCAATATTAACTTTTAGGAAAATCTATAAAGCATGGTTCAACAGAATAAAGGAAAGCGCTTTGATGCCTTTTGTTGTTCTTTTTTTCCCTTAGCTCCTTCTCTGCTTCTTCTCTGCCCTTTGTATCAAGCTCAATTTTTTCTCCCCTTCATTCAGATCACCCCACCAGGCTACCCTAGACTGTCTGTCTGATGTGTTTCACTGTGTTCTTCTCCTCCTTTTCCCATGAACCCAGGCTTGACTTCTCCTCCATTTCTTTTATGTTAATAAGTTCACTATGGTTTTTAGGTCATGGTTCTAGTTTTGTGTGTCATAGTTCCTAAATTTTACTTCCCCCAGCCAGTATATTTTCTTGATAAAAATGCATCCTAAAAATGGCTTTCTAAATAATTTTTTAGTTAAGTAACCATAAAATAATATAATTAATTTTAATTGTATGATCAAGAGATGTGTACATATTATAAATGTGAAATTGTACTGTCTTATGGATGCTGCTTGTCCTTTTCCTGTGGTTCCAAAACCCCTGAAAAGCCCTGATTCTTCCTCTGGACAGACTGGCAGCTTCCTACATGTGGTGCTGATACTATTAGCATCTTCTTCCTTTGAATCTCTCTAAATTTCAGCAGTGCAGATGTTCATATGTTTTCTAATAAAACAAAATCTGGTCAGAAAGTAATA